GATATGTCCATCTCAAGAGCATAGCTTGACGCTTCAGCTGATATCGATATTTAGAAGTTAGATCAGACTGAGTTTTTCTTTGTCTATTCTTGCAGTTACAATACATATTATACATTACCATTTCTTCCACATAAAGCAAGCCAAAAACCAGTCACAGCCAAAGCAGACCGCGATCTCTCTCAGCTTCGCTCGCACTTGTCATGAGAGATTGTCAAAAAAAAGGAGAGACAGAGAGAAACCATGACATGAAGAAACATCCCAGTAGAACCACTAACAGTAATAAGCCGTAAAACTGTGCTGTTTGTATTTTTTTATCCACCTACTGAAGCTCTTGACCCATCACGAATTTTTCACGACCTTTTTTAAAAACTTTTAAGAGTCAAACTTCTTTAACGACACTGACCTTTTTATTGTTGTTTAAGACAAACGCTCAGCCAGGGACTTCGTTGATACCATCCGACCCCATTCCCATAATGGGCAGGCGGCGTCGCTTTATTAAGTGCCAACATCTGATTCTTATCCAATTAGTGGGGAATGGCCGACGACACGCTGCGTTTAAGCCAGCGAATGGGACAGACAAACTTTCACCCAAAAGGAAGTGCCGGAGGATGCGGAAGGGCTAAGGAAGGCGGTGGCCAAAACAAAATGGCCCTTTGTGGGTTGGAGGCAGTGCAGCTGGCAAAAAGTTAAGCTGTTTAGCTTGCACCGAAAAACCATGTGGCAATAGCTGTCTTGCCACAAAAAAGTGTAAGCAGATTTAAGTCCGAGGCGGACAGAGAATGCTTGCTAATGAAAAATGCAGTTGGCCTTTTCCGGGCTCTAAGTGCGGGTTTTCCTCCTGAGGCTCTCTCCTTCTTTGGGGAGGTGACTTATTGAAATGTGATTTATTGACTTGGCTTTGGCCGCAGGTGTAGGGTGCATCCGTTAGGAGACTGCATCCGCAATTACATTTGACACTAGAAAGTGTTTCCGGCAGGTCAATAACAAGTTGCCAGATATTGGCTCAGCTTCCTAACAGATAAGTGGACATAATTCTGGATGGAACACCCAATGAGGGCACACAGTTTTTAATTACAGGTCTTCTGCTGACCATAACCATGGGCAATTCCTTTCCGAGAAAGATACTCGTTGAGACAGTGGAACAACACCCACATTCCTGTCTGCTCGGGCTGAGGATGCTGCCCTATTGGTGTATCGGTGTCAGTGCGTGCCTGTTTGCCGCCCCAACAACACGGAACTGGGTGTACAACCGAGTCCTGCTCTGCCTTTTGTATGCATCCTGTGCCAGTTCCACAGTCTGCTGCATTCATTAGACTAAGCCAAGTGGCGGTGGCGCTCATTGCCTCAGACTCAGCCTCGGCAGCTGCCCCATCCTGGAAGCAGGTTTAAATTGCATTTACAGGCGGACTCTGGGCTCTGGGATTCTACTCCACTAATGGTGTTACATGACTCGGGGCCATCCTCCCGCTATTATGATGATTATGATTACTCGCGGCCTTCAGCTATTAGGATAAAGATGCGACACTTCCAAATTGTCGCTTAGCCCGGCTTATGCCAGCACTAACGAGAAGCTTCTGGCCATGGCAGCCAAGTAAATGAAAAGGAATTTACGTATTTCATTCAATTAAACAAATTGCAGGCTGTCTTGGCTTTAGTCGAAGGACAAAATCAAAATCCTTCTCCTGCTCTACAATTAGCATGTCCCAGTGGACACCTGAGCTGGAACTGTGCTTTTGACAGCTACATATGTTACTTAATCGCACGGCAGCCGTCTGCCACTGCCACTGAGCAGGAAGTGCATGACCATCGCTTGCCACACGACATGCAACACGTCAGGGCTGCAAGCGTCGCGAAACAAAACTTCGCCTCACATAGAGCACAGGTTAAAAACAACTTTTCCGTAAATGAAAATGTTCTGGCAAAAAACTCTGTCCCCGTTCCCGTCCCCGCATTGGTAGAGGTAAATTGGGGGCACCCAACACCGAAGACTGTGTTTACTTTTCTATTTGAAAAGTTATAAGTGAGATTGTTTCTTTCTTGTATTCTTGGGGTTAATGCAGTCCTCCAAGTACTCCGTAAAATTATGACAAGTCGCCGATTTTCATGTTTCTTGAATTCAATTAGAGTTTGGTATTAGTTCTGGGAGGAATTCAGGAGGATTGTGGGTACATAGATAATGTTAACGGTTTTTGTAATATCCAGATACCGTTATAATGAATTGATCGAAGGAATGTAGAAGGAATTTATATGTATAGAGTTCTTTCTGGGGATCGTGGATGTCCAATCACTGGGTGAGATTGATTTTTGTGTTCCTTTTAGACCCACTTTCACCTTCCGGCCGTTACATTTACCGTTCTGTAGGTCAAACACGATCCGTTTAGAGTTGTATGTCTTAATTATTATAATCTATATCACACCCTATGCCTTGAAATATCTTTTAGAATATATACAAGGTAATTTTAAATAAATAATAAATAAAATATATAGAAGTGAATGTATTTCACTATTTCCAGGAACCCCATATATCTTAGATTTATGTAGATTAATATGCAAATAATCCAAATTATTTCGCCCTTAATCTGGAATAATATCATGCAAGTGTGTCCAAAAATTCCCCATAGGGCTATACCTCACTCAGGGTATCGAATTAATAGTATTATAGCATGCCTGCTTGCCATTGGTCAGCGTGCACATTAAATAAGGTTGTTGGGACATTTCCGCTAGATTTGATTATCGCCTGGCGGGGAGGATCAGTTTCATAACGCGATGGGTCTGATATTGGGAAAGGGGCGCGTATACTCGTAAATCGACTTGAGCATGGTCCTGGCAATAGAATGACTTAATCTGTAGTTGCTGAAATTGCATGTGTAACTGTAACTTCCAGGACTGGAACTCTCCTAAGTATCGTTGCATGTGAGAACTACTCGAATTTCGTTGCATGTTGCTGTGGGTAGGCCTTTTCTTAGAGTTAAGTTTTATTGTTAGTTTATTGTTTTTAAAGGTTCTTTTTTAGGTTTTTTTTTTGTATGATTGTCATGCGCACAATGCAGCTAAGTAAGTAGTTCGATGGCCTAAAGCCAGTCCGCTACGGTTTGCTCATCGCATGCATCACAGCAGTAGCACGATCATCCTCATAGTCATCATCATCATCATCATCATGAGTAGTAGTAGCGAAAGCAGTATCCACAGTTTCCACAGTATCGCCGATGCAGTTCGAGCTTTAGGTGGCTTCTAGGCTGTTCTACATCACTGATGGTCCACTACTTGGACTAGTCAGTGGCTAGTGGCTAGTAGGGGGCTTACAGTTAAGGTAAAATGGCTTCTCACTTACCGCCTTGGCTGGATGGGTGTGTGGGGTGCATGTTGATTGTTGTTTGGTTTTGTTTTTCTTTAGGTTTATAAGAGAGATAGAGAGATGAAAGCTACTTTTTTTGATTGATTTGAATACTAAAATATACGTTGATGGGTTGCCCCGGTTCGGGTTGAGTGTTGATTGAAGAGCAGCTTCTCCGGGGTGGTGTTGATTGATGATTCTCGGTTGCTCCGGGTTTGCGTTGCTCCGCCTCCACACTTCATCGAATTCTCACAGTTTGCTTGATTTGGCTCTGATTAGTTGTATCTTTAAGTCACTTAAAAAGTGTTTGCTTTACAATTTCTTAAGTCTTAAGTCTAATGGGGGGTACTACTGGGTAGAGTTTTTTGGGCTGGCCAATTGTTCAACTTCATTGGGGGACACTCCTTCACACTTTGTACTCTTGGTAGTTAAATTTTTGCATTTTACATGGTGCATCTCGCCTGGTGCTCGGTCTATGCCTATGGGCTTAGGACTACTAATAGTGATTAGGCGTAAACTAAGTAGTCTACTACATATATTCTATATATATTCATTCGATCTACCTTAACTATAGTGTATATAGTGTTAGTTATTGTTTACCGTATTGCTTTGAAAGAGTATGTCAAGAGTGGTTATTAGGAAATTCTTTGATTGCGATTTACGTATACTTTGAGTTGGGATTAGCTAGGATCGATTAAAGTTATCGTTGCGCTACTAGCTTGAATATTTAGAATATCATTCGATTATTGTAAGCGATTAAAGTATTTGTTAATGGGTATACTGTGGACCCGTTCAGTTAGCTGTCTGTAACTACTAAGTATTCAAATGATAACTATATTCTATGGCTATGGGTATGGCATACAACTCCTTGGCTTTGGCTATATAATACTGTATAATATATTTGCTATATGTTGTGTATATCTTCTATATAACTTGTAAATATTCTGCATGTATGTTAATCGAAATCGAAAGCTGATTAAACTGACTGATTCGAAACTCTAATAATTACTGATTACTTGAATCGTATTGGATTGCTAATACGTATACTTCTGTTTACTGTTTACTGTACTTAATTCTAGAACGGTACAAGTGCTTTTCGAAATGCTCTGCAATAGTTACTTGTTTTCTTATAATACTCTCATTACTTTTATCTTTAATCTTTACCTTTTCTTGGTGTCGACTCTTACAGTGGTAGTAGTACTTATTGAAGGAGAAAATACATTATTAACTAGGGATTACATTCTGTAGCGTAGCAAACACTTTCTCTTTTCTTTGGATTTGCTTTTACTTGATTTGATGGGTTCAAAGTCCATTGGCAAATGCTTGTGAATAAAAGCTAATATATCCGATATTTGAATGACTCTACATTTTAACTCTAGCTTGTTACTTTATGTTTGATCTTGGGCGTGATATTTTAAGGGCATTTCAACTTTAAACTTTAAGCTTGAATCTTGAATTGCATTGTATAGGAAACGAAATTGGGCTCTTGCGTTTTTGCTGGGTGTCGGTGTTGGTTGATTGAAGATGTAGCAGAGAAGTGGGCTTGACGTGTTGCGGATGATATGCATATCAATTGGTTGGGGGTTCGATTGGGGGGGCTGGGGTTCACTTCGTTTCTTTGCTCGTCTCGCGCCCCTCTCTCCGCTTAATCCCTTGTGGGGCTTACCTCGGCGATGTGGGCGGCAGCGGCGGCGGCGGCAACGGCGGGGGCGGGGCCCGCACATCTGTCTCGATGTTGCGCTTGTGCGGCGTCTGCAAGTCGAGGGCTGCATAGCCGTGTCCGCTGAGGGCATGGCCATGGCCGTGTCCGTGGCCGTGACTATGCCCATGGGCGTGTGTATGCGCGTGTCCGTGGATATGGCTGTGGGCGTGGGCGTGGGCATGGCCGACGCCTAGCGGGGACTCGCGCGGCCGCAGAGTGGTGGGTGGGCCGCGGAACAGGGCGTACGGATTGAAGTAATCCTGTGACGTGGCCATCATGTTGAGTGCGGTGAACGTGACGCTGTGGAGAAGAAGAAAGGAAAACAATTAGCTCGCAATTGACAAATTATGACAGAGGGATCGTCGAACAGGGAGCGGGGAGCGGCAGGGAGCAGCTGAAATTAAAAGCAAACATTGAGCGATTGCTGCCATGTCAATAAACCATTATTATGGCTTACACTGCCCGCCATTCGAACTGACTAAACGATGGACCGTATCCATGTCAGTATCCATGTCCATTATGTCCACGTCCTTTCATGTTTTTTAATTTAATAGTCGTGTCATGTAAATGGGCCCGGCACGCGAATGCATTTAATTCCCGTTGTGAAATGAAATTATTTTAACATGTTCGCTGTGATTGATACTCATGCCAGGACCGGGCCAGCACCCTATCTACATCTATCCACTGGCCCCCCCACTCCACTCCACGGAGCCTGTTGCAGATGCAGTACACATGTCGGACACACCATAATTGACAGCAAAGGACATGCCACGAACGGACTGGACTACACATGTAATTAAGTGCCGGCTTGTCGCTTAAAGTGCCAGCCAATTGCCCCCAACACATAACGAGGCGACAAGAGCCGCCGATTTCGAACCAAACGCTCTCCGCAGACAGACCGGGGCTGGACGGGCCCAACTGATAGATGGCCTCGCCCATTAACAGTTTCAAAAATGTGCCTTTAAGTTCAAGGTTCTCTGTCGGCTGAGCCAGCTGGGGGGTTTATCGCTTATCGCTTATCAATCGCTTTCAGGATGGTATTCAAATTAGTATCGCTTTAGGCATTGCCATTACAATTGCAATACCAATCGCTCACCCACATGAAATATAAATTCCTGCAAATTAACCAGCAATCCTGCTAATCCCTCTGATTGTGCCGATTCTGTTGATGTAATCACAAACGGCTCATTATTTCCTGCCCATCAAATCGACCAACACTTGAAGTCACTTGCAATTAAATGCTTACATAGCTGGACAGAGCCCACTTCCCCAACCACACCACACCCACACCCACTTGACGTGTGTTTACGCAATTTCCAACCAATTGGCATCAAGTGGCAAACACATTTGAGCCGCTTTCCGCATGCAAGACGGGCCGTGGCGAGCTCCGGGCCCATTTCTCAGCCGCAATTATGGCGCCCGGAACGGTACGATTACCCCAACAGCAACAGCAATAACAGTAAACACTCGGTGGAGTGACCAATGCGAGCTCAGCTTTTTTAATGAACTCTTCCTTTTTTCTTTTTCTGCACTTCTCCTCGTCGCATGTCGCATGTCGCATGTCGCGTTGCATTGCGTTGCCTTTTTGCATAATTTAACGCGACAACGACAGCTCAAGTGCTGACTGATTTTCCGCCTCGCTGACTGCCTGGCGAGACGTCAGCGATCTTGGGAATGGAGGTGGGGGATTCCTGAGAGGGACTCCGACTGCGACTGCGACGGCGATGGCGACTGCGACTAAGGAGAAGTCGATGATGGTTGCTTTTAACTTTTGCATAATTACGTGTAAGAAAAGAACATTTTCAGCTCTCGGATTTGTCCGCAAAGTTCGGAGATGGTGGATTGTAGATGGTAGATGAAAACTTTACAAGGAGGTGGTGGCAGCCCCAGCATATCAAAGAAACACGCTCCACTCAGCTCGCGGCACGCAGCGTGCGAATTGTTTTAACTTACTTGGCTCAACTTTTTTATGGCAACGCACCGCGACACTAATGGCACACCCCCAGAGTGTCGTTGGGGAAGGGGACAGATCGCACACACACTCCCACAAAAAAAAGGGAAAACTATTACGAAATCCATGGTCGACTACAGGTTACCTGGTGCGCCGACTTTGTAAAGGCTTTAATAGTCCCCAGAATTCAAAGGTTCTCTACAGGCAGGTTCGCCGAACAGGGTCGGAATGGCTTCCTTTTCCTGCCGGCTAAATACATCTACGCGAATATACTCTTCGAATACCTGTTAACAAAAAAAAAAAACCACACACATGGGTAGGGGTGCACACATCCTCATGGCCGGAAGAAATGTGGAGCAATAGCGTCAAGTGCACGCAGTCTGCTGCACTGCATCGAGTGTGCACGGGCAGGGGCAGCGGCAGCCGGGAGCCGGGAGCCGGGAGGGCCTATATAGGCCAGACGATGTGTGGCAGCAACAGCCACGGCAACGGCAACACCTTCGCGCATTGGTGTCACCTACTGAACTGAGCATTGAGCGCCGAGCGCCGAGCACCGAGCACAGAGCACATAACACTGAGGCCCAGCAGAGTACTCGGGAATCAGGGTATCAGGCAAAGTAATCTCTGTTCTGGAACGCTTTTTAGAACGCTGCGTCGCCACTATGGTCCGAACGACCACTTTTGTTGGCCAAAACCTAATTTTTCAAAGTCAAAACTGAAACCTGGTTTTGATCGCTCTGCATTAGAAAAAGATCGACCATTAAATCTGCGTACCAGAAATTTCCATAGATGGCGCCACATTCGCAAAATCAGCTGTGCAACCCAACTGTTTTTATAGTAAAGCACGTGAAGGGAAAAAGTGGCAAATTAATAACCACTTTAGATATCTCAAAAATTGAAAAACGCCAAGACGTGATTAAATTTTTTTGATGAATCTTAATCTGTCGGGTTCTTACTACGTGTTTTGAGTTTTTAACTGTCTCTAGTAGTTCTGATGTCTTCGTAATTGAAGGTTAAAGTGAGGCCTTCAACATGTGCCAACTTGTAATGAAAACTAATTTTTGAAAAGGTGTACAAAGTGAGTCCTACCTAGTCCCACCCTGAAACCTTTTCTGTGTCGTAGATTAATAAATTCTTTTTGAAATGTATATAGTTAGAAATGCCACTTTTTACCACAATTCTTGGAATTTGCATTAATAGAGCATAACCTCAAATTCGAAAATGCATATTTGTTTGCCGAATGGAATTCAGAGAAGGGTAAAATTATCAATTATTTGAAAACGGATCTTAAGGCGACATATCATATGAAATTAATAAAGCTTTTGAAGATACCAGCAAGAAAATTTGTTACCGTTTGGCAACATACCGGAACAAATGCCGGTAAAATTCAAAGATGTTTGAACGAAAATATGTGGATTGGCCACAAGCCTTTGTTATAATACATTTATCTTTATGTCCAAATATGCTAACTAAGTTCGTAAGGCTGTACAGGACCCAGTCGGAAAGCCGGCACATATCTCACTTAACGAGGCGTTAACCTTGCTTCTAGACAAGGATTTCGGCAATAATTTACGGAAACCTTTAAACGATTTTATTTTTATTTAAATCAAAATTTTTTTTAGTCGTTCAACGCCGTTTTCTTAAATAAAATATGCTTAATACTTTTTTTCACTATAACTAAAAATTTAAATATGCATTATTAAAAAAAGGGGCGGTGCCACACCCATTTTTTTTCTTTAATCCATTTCTTATTGATTATATGTATCCAATACAAAAAACTAAATGAAAAAATCTTGTTCCGTTCGGGAGTTATTAATTTTGGCCAACAAAAGTGGTCGTTCGGACCATAGTGCGTCGCGTCGGGAGACGCTGTGGGGCTGTTAATGAGTCAAGATATTATGCATTTGTATGCGTGCATACACACAGCCACAGTGTGTGTGTGTGTGCGTGTGTGTGTGTGTGAGGTAGGGCCTAAGTGCGTTGGCGTCAAGCGTTGAAAGCAGGCAGACGGCAACAATGGCAGCAAACAACGGTGCCGCCGCTTTTTGTTGCCTACATTTGTGCGCGGTTGAGATTGAGAGTTCTGGGCAGACAGACTGGCACACCCACACACATATTTGCATACGTACAACGTACGTGCACTCACATATATTTGGATGAACAGTGATGCGGCCTTTGGCATGAGTCTATTACAAAATGGCGAATTTCACGGTTACTGGATTTGGTTTTTTATTGCTGTTTCCTGGGGATTGTATTTATAATTAAGGAATTCCTTAATATCTTTAGTGACATCATAAGGGATGAATTTAAGTTCTAAATCGAACTCTATATATGAATGCAATACTGTTTCGGCTAAAATTTAATTTAAATTCATCAATAAATGCGGCGCTCAACAAATGAGACACTCCTCTCAAATGAAAATACGAAATCTGCGCCAATTTGAAATCGATTTGGTACTAGTTTGATACATTAGTTCTGCCCTTTGCAGTGACTTGTCTATCCCTTCGAGGGCTTAAACGTGATCACGCACTCATCCCTAATTCGCTCTTGAGACACACTCGTTGCCGTCTTTTGTTGTGGCATCGATGAAGGCGTTTACCCCACAAGGTCTGCATAATGCATGCAGGGAAAATATATGGATGGATATTATTATTAAGGGCTCTGCCTCGTGTATGGGAAGTTCGCAGTGGGCTGTCATTATGCCTTTGCCTGAGCTCCAATTAATTGAACCACTTGAGGGGCTGGCAGCAATTTGTATAAGTAATGTCAGGCGTAAGGCCGCAGAGAACTTTGCCAGCATTTAAGAATTGCATTTGTTATGTATCATTATATTTTTTATATATATATTTATATATATATATATATATTTTTATTTTATTCCCCTTAGCTTACTTTTTTTTTTTTTAGTTACAAAAGTTATTTTTTCTCGCTATCAGCGGACGCAGTGCAACTTTGGCTGACTTTTGCTTGACTCTTTGCTTGTGGCAGTAACTTGGCTGGGGACTCAGGAAGGAACTGTTGCTGCCCCAGGGAGAGGGGAGATAATCCTTTTTAGTGCTTTATTGCTTTATGCCGTTATCCCGTCGCTGGCTGTGGCCCGGCTCTTTAAGACTGCAATAAATTGAATTTGCGGACAAGGAAAATGTCCTTAGACCGGCTGCTTTCTCAAAGCCAAAAGCCCGAGACCGACCCTAGGGCCCCAGCTGTGGGGCCGTTCGTCAGCGGTCTACTTGTTTAGTCAAATGCTTCAGTTGTTAGCCGATTTGTACTCTCAGCTGCCCCAGCTCCAGCCCCCGCTGTTGATGGACTCCAGCACTCTCTGTTTGTGGCTTGAAGCTTGGTTGCCAAA